ATGAAAAGGATGGATTTACACTAAATGGGGAAGAAAGTGAAGACAGGGGGTGGAGGTGAGGAGAAGTCATACAAAGTGATGAGGCCAAGGAACTGGGAGTTTGGGACGCTGCAAGGGGCACAAGAGGAGCATGGAGAGTGGGCTCAGAACAGCCCTCTAAAAGGCAGGGAGAGCCAAGGAAGGGTGGGTGCCAAGGAACAAGTGAGTTTCCAGAGTCAGCATCCTGGATACAGCCAGGGGAATGACGTTGACAGGGAGGTCATTAGATGTGGTGGCCCTGCAGGGAGCAGTTTCAGCATAGTGAGGAGGCTGGCCATTACAAGAGACAGGGTGATTGATTAGGGAGGTCTACGAGTGCAGAGACAAGAATTGCAAGAGGATGTGGTTATGTCTAAGGCCAGAACAGAAAAGCCCCCACACACAAAGGGCACGCAGGATGGGCTGTTGCTCACTCCGAAGCATTTCTGAAGTCCTGAGATCTGGGGACAGGGCAGATTAGTGCTATTGCTCAAACTGTGCTTTAGAACCTCGAAGTTCATTCATTCCACTCCTGCAGACACTAAGGGCAGCTCTCGTTCATCAAACAGCAGCACTGGGGCATGCTTAGAATTGCTACTCGATTAGAAGATATCCCCCAGTCCCTTCCAATCCCCAAATTCTATTAACCCTGGGTACACTTTCCCACCTCAATGAATTTTACAACTATGATCAAGGAAAGCTGTGATGAAATGGCCAAGTAATGAAAAGGATGGATTTACACTAAATGGGGAAGAAAGTGAAGACGGGGGTGGAGGTGAGGAGAAGGCCATGAATTTTACAACTATGATCAAGGAGAGCTTGAGAAACTGGCTAGCTGAGGACGCTTTCCTAACAAACACACAGGGAAGAGGTTGGAGATTATTATTCCAGAAACACAAGATAACAGGACAAAAATTATCTGTCTTCTTGCTTCAGCACAATCCTTTCTAGCCAAAAAAAAAAACTCTAGATTTGTGTTGGGGAGCAGTAAGTTGTCACTGATATCTGCTATAACAGAATGGCATGGCTTGTCAAGATATCGAGGAAAAAATAACAAAAAACTAGCACAATTTGGCATCTAAATGGCATCAAGCTCCAGACTGAGTTAAACATTTGGAAAATAATGACACTGCATGATTCGATTTGATACAGAGGCGTGAGACCCAGGGAGCATGCTCAGCCCCCACCCCCACGTCACTGGCAGCACCTGTGAGTCATACCACACATCAGATGGCAAAGTGTGACAATCAGTTAAGTTCTGAAAGGCAATCAACACCCTGGCTGGAAGGCGGGCTCATGACAACTCAAGTTCTTTGGGTTTAGACACATCCTCATATACAGCACACACACACCCCAACCACACACCAAAATCTCAATCACGTGTGTGTGAGCCACCGCAAAGCGATGCCTGTGGGAAAAGGAGAACAAAGCGGCCTGGGAGAACTCTAAACACACCGCCTTCAACACCACGTGAATGTGGGCACCAGTAAGTGCCGGCAAAGCCAGGGGTGCACAAAGGTTCTTCTGACATGAATAACCTCCTGGGAGGCGCATCCACACACTGACAAAAGCTGCACGCTGAATCAATATTTCACAGAGTCACGGATACAGACAGCTTGACTATTTGAATAATCAAGCCAAACTGCCACACCATTGAACTTGCCAATTGCTACAGAGGCGGTTGTGAAGGGGGCTGAAAAGGCCACGTGAGCTCCACGGTGGCTGACTCAGCCTCTTCAGATATGACAGGCGAGACAGCAGGCTGCCCACAGGGCGAACAGCTGCGCTTCACACAGCAGGAGCTGGGAGTAACTGGGGGCAAATGAAGCGTGTCATGGGTCCTTCTCAGTCACCTAGGCCTGAGGGGCAGTCACCAGAGGCGCAATGGGAAACACACTTCACAGCGTCAGATGCCACCTTACAAGGTGATAAAAATTAATAGCCATGTTCAAGTGCTTTATATCCCCTTTCTGGGCTAGGTGATTCTGACCACAGTCTATATACGTGTCACAACCTCTTTGTAAACTACATTGTGTTTTTACTTAAATGTGTGGGTTTTTTTGTTTTGTTTTGTTTTGTTTGTAAAGCCATCGCTACTTAAATATTTTGAACCAAAGAAAGAAGTTATTTTGTGGGAGGAGTCTGAGTTAGAAGATATAAAACTCAGGAAATATATCCCCGCTGAGGAATCCATTGTTGGTGTCAAACGGTAGGCAGACGGGCTTCCAGTTGGAAAGGACTCTATCTCCCCACCGCCTGTGAACATGCATGGAGCTGCTGTCATCTTTGGGTTTTTCAGATTTGGCCAGGTGATGTGGAACAGAAAGTAATTTGTCCCTCATGTCATGACAAGGAAAAGAAAGCAGAGAAGTGATCAGTGTCCAGGAAGAGCTGACTTCCAGTCTTCTGAGCAACTAATAGAAAGCAAAGCAATCACAGATAAGGGCGTGCGCGCTGGGGTGTGACGGGACGGTGCTTGAATATGTGCAGGCTTTGCAAGCTGCAGAGAGCAGGAGAGAAGGAATCCAAGTCTAACTTGGAAACAGAAGTGTAAGAAAAGACAAGGGATTAATATTGTTAACAATGAAGGTAAGTAAAACCTCCACTGAAATGCGTACCTACATTTGTATTTCCCGAAATAGCGTTCAGTTTGTAAAATTTCTTAACAAATATTAGCAGGCAGAGATCATGTCACATTAATACTCGGCTCTTTTAAGTTACATTTTTGATGAAAAAGGAAACAAAAACAACCACTGAAAGAACTGGTGTTCTGTGATGAATGATGTGACCTAGACATCGAGGTCCATGGAAAACCGGGATGAACCGACCCCACCCCCTCGGTTTCTCAATATCAAAATTATACTTGATGACATTGCAGTTCTTAAAATCCTTGGTCCTTACACCTTCCCTGAACTCCGAGTCAGCCACCAGCCCTCTCCACCTGGATGCCCTACCTGCACTGTCTGACAGATCCCGTGCTCCTGCCTTTCTGTCTGTCCTGGACCTTGCCTTCAGCCTCAGCCCACTCTCCCTGCCCTCTCAGAGATCCCCAATAAATCACTCCATCAAATCTGTCTTCTGCTGTGCACCTGGCCAAGGTCCCAGGCTCTCTTCCTTGGATTCTGTAAGAGTCTCACTGCACTGGGCCCCTATATTCTGATCTACCCTTTGCCTCTCTGGGGATTATCTTCTGATAAAGAGCCCAGGCTTCATACTCCAGCCTCATTCCCCGCCACTCCCAGCCCTGCTTCCTGAGCCTGAGCCACAGAGTATCCTTGTTCCTGGGACATGTCTTCTCTTGGCTCAGGTCTCTACCTGACTGCTATCCCCGTTTTCTGCATCCTCACCTTTGCTGCTTCCCGTATGAGGCTCTTTGCAGAGCTACCCTCTCTGTCTTCTGTGCTACAGAGGTACTTAGTCCTCACACCGTGGGACACTTGCCACATTATGTTAAGGTTGCTGATGTTTCTGTCTTACCAACCAGATTACTAGCTCCTTTAGGGCAGGAGCCAGATCTCAAATGTTTCTCTACTGAAAGCACCTCACAGAGGGGCTGGCCAATGCAGGGGGGCCAAATGACTCTTATTAAGTTAAATGCTATTTCTTCAGGCTCCCCAGCCAGGAATTACCTGGTGACTGCCTACTCAAATTGAAGGATTTTAGGGAAGAAAAGGACTCCTAAGGAGAAACATGAAATCTGAGAATAATAAAAATTTTCCTTCCCAATTTCAATGAAAATTCTGTGAGCAAAACAGATTAAGTGATTCAAAAGAGATTTGAATCTCTTCACAAATCTAAATGGTATTGACATCATAATGTCCTAGGTATCATTTAGTATGTTCATAGAAATCAACACGGGTGTTTCGATTTTAGAAAATTTTAAGGCATTTGAAAATGCACAAAGTGAATGAACGTATGTGTATAGGACCATTAAGTATATACTTTTCGAGTATAGTATTTATTAAAGTATTATTATACAAAGAAAGCCACACAAATCATAAGTGTACAGCCCAAGGAATTTTCCCTAGTGGGATCTAGCCTTGTAACCAGTATCCAGATCAAGATACTAAACATTCCCAGACTGCAGAAGGCCCTTTGTGCCTTTTTCTAATCACTGCCCTCCCGGACTGTTAATACCATAGGTCCATTGTGCCTGTTCTTATTCTTTGTTTAATTGGAATCCTGATACATAATGTTTTCTGTTTGACTTTCTTTTTTCAACATTACTTTATGAGACTGGACCATATCATTGGAAGTAGCAATAATTCATCCTAAATCTGTAAGTGTAAATGTTTCTTAAATTGTATTTCCAAGGGAGCTATAAGACGCTAAGCCAGAAGGAATTTAACATTTCTTCCTTTTAGCCAAGAATTACTCGTTACTTGAAGTTAAACTATCCACCCTGTGGAAAGTCAAAAAGTTGTCTTGTTTCTGAACCTTATACACTCTGTGCCATCAAGCCTGTAACTTGCAGTCGACGTTTCCAGAATGAAGGAATAAACGAAGCAGAATGGTAAAGCGGTCTTGCAGGGAAAAAGCGACAGTAACAGCCAGGAGGGAAGAAAGACCCATGAAGCTCACTGCATCCTTTTGCCAAATGATTATTTTTTAAAGCAAATTGTCTGAATTCCAGAATCTTCTGGATCTTTTATAGCTTTGTTTTTGACATTTACAACACTATTTAAAAACTAACTTTTGAGAGAAACTTTTTTTTTTACTCTTTCTTGGGTTCTAACTACAGATTAATGGTTTGCTAGAGATGATGAAAAGAAAAAGGGCAGCATATTGTAGAAGAACTATGACAGAAAGAATTTCAGATTGAGTTGGCTAAAATAAAACAGAAGGATTATCTGTGGCCTCCAACCTTTGAAAGGAGAAGTCCAGCACCTCCATATTGTTTTATGTAGTATACATTTAACACGCGATGCTACTACCCAGTACACACGAGTTCCAAGTTTGCCCACTTGCCTATGAGCACATACCTTGGGGATTAAAGAAACCAGTCATCCAAAACACATTAGGCCTTCCTTCAAATATCCAAACAGCAAACTGAGCATTTCTTTCCAACAGTTCAGTAAACCAGAAGCCCAGTGTGGACGAATCCCAGGACACTCTCTTCCACATCTGAGGTATGCGAGCATCATACATGTTGTCCAGGGCGTCTCTCAAGTTCTAGAGAAGATAAAGTTAAAAATGCATGAATAAGAAACATTCACTAAAGAGGGAAATGGCTACTGAGATAATAACAGCTCACCTCACTCATAATGATCGTTCCTTCAATGGCCAATTTTAGATCACTCAGGCTACTGCGAAGTATTGAAATGACTTTTTGCATTCTGTCAATTTCTTGTCTAAGAAAGATGTTCATTGAATTAAGATGTCCCATCTTTATCAAACGAGCTTTCACCTAAAACAAAGTATACAATGCAATAAAGCAGCTCTTAACATCTGTTATTTCTCTTCCAATGACCTCTCTTTTCTCAGTTCCTTTTCTTCCTCTGGATGTGTCTCTACCAGCCCAAATGAACTCTAAAATATCTCTTGCAGAACCAAACTTGCCATTAAATTCCCCATTTTCTAGGCTCCAAAAACTACTGTTCAACTAAAATGATTTTTATTTCCTACTGACTGTACTTGGTTGATAATTGAAAATGTATTTTAAAAGGCTAGAATAAAATTGTACCTTTTCCTCTTTCAAATGATTAAGTACTATGTGTCAGTTAAATATTTTTTTGGTAACCTAACCTTCATGAGAGTACAGTGGAATTTTTTTTTCATTATGCTTGCAGAGATGTTATTAGAAATGTTACAGAAAGTTAATACAGCCAAAATCTTTATAGAACAGTTACCAATGAATATGATTGGCTGTATTTTTCCAAAGATCATTGTCTCTTTGGCTATGGTGGCTAAAGAGAACCCTTCCTTATCTAATCAATGACTAGTCAATATCTGACTTCATGGAAGAGCCATCAAGCACCTGTCATTCATTCCTTTTGGTACATCATTTACTGGCCATTTTGAAGAGATCAATACAAAAGTCTCTGGCTGTATAAATAAGATATAACAATTATTGGAAAATAAGCCAATACATATACCCATTTCAATTCAGTGACATATGTCCAGGAAAAGATTGACTACAAATACTGACAAGGACTCATAAAGATTTGAACTTTCTGCTGGCCACGATCAAAGAGATGCCAGAATCTGAGGGACCATGACAGAAGATACCAGGACAGTCCAGACAATCACCAGGAAGCTGATAACCATAGGATTCTCTTCCAGACAGGCCCACTGCCCCGTCCTGAGGTGTGGGATCTTAGAGACAATGGGATTTAAAGCCAGCTGGACCATCCTCCTCATTTTATGGAATAGGTCCCTGACATGACACTGAAGTTTCCCTTTATCAGTGAACACCTCTGTCCTGCTGCAACTGGGTCACTTCTACCAAGCAAGAGATGAAGAGGGGAAGCACGAACTCAGAGGGCAACCGGGATATGAAACTAAACAGCTGAACGTTCTCCTTAGTGAAGTATCACAAGAACCCAATTGATTCAATACTGATATGAAGCCAGTAGACAAACTAATACACACCCACACAAGAGAGAAACTCAATTTAATTGAAGTTGGGGGGAGGGGAGGAGGGAGGAGAAGGTAGGAAGGGAGGGATTGTGTGCTCTCACCTAATGGGCACAATGTAAGGTTACCTGGCACACCTCCTGGGTGAGGGGCACAACTACAACAGGGACCTTGCCTAACAAATACACACATTGTAACCTAATCATTTGTACCCTCATAAATAAATTTGAAAAATTTTTTAAAAATCTGAACAGCTTGAAGGGGGCTACCTTTGTAAGTGAGGTAAATAATATTAAAATCACAGCCAAGCATGCCAGTGGCGGGCCCTGACCCAGTCTGACATTACAGCCTTCAGGTATTTTCCTGAATTCCTGGGTCTGGAACCTCCATTTGGGCCATCTACAGTGACTTGCTCTCATCTCTTCCCAAGGTCTTCAGCTTTCAGGGGCTGAACAGAATATGGCATCTCCTTTACATCATTCCATCCCAAGAGTGGACATTCACTCTTGAAGAAAAGGGAAATTATAGAAATACTTTTTGCCACCCCATGAGTGTAAAACTGAGCTCAGGCATTGACTACAAAGTCCAATCAATAGCTCAGGGATCTTTATGCCCACAGCCCAAACAAATCACCTTGTCCTGCTTGGGGGTTTTAAAAAAGCAACTCTATTTGAGATAGATATGTGCTTAGGAAAAACTTGGACCCTAGAAAATGTAATTTTAGTACTGATTTTAGTTTCAATATGATTATTGCTCCAGCCTAAAATTGTCTTTTGAGTAATAAAATTTAAGATTTGCTATGGTCTGATACAGGATTTTCATTATGTTCCTAGAACTAGGTAGGCTCTTCCACAGTGATGGTATAATTATACTTTGATTTACAAAATTCACTTTACAGCCACATTTTCAAGAACGCATCTCTGTGATTAAATAAAGAACACTAAAAAGAAGCAATTTTGGAATAGGGAGAAGCTTTATATGTTTCTCAGTGCAAACTCTTTCCTATACAGGAATCCATGTAGTGACATCCCTGATGCTCAGTTTCTGCTAGAAAATCGCCAGAACAGAGGTCTTGTTGGTGAAGTGGTCCCTGCCAAGCCCAGACAGCTCAAATTATCACAAGGTCTTGAAAGTTTCCTCTAACGAAACTAACCCTGCAGTCTAGTCATATAGAATAAGCTCTATCTCATTTTCGCAGGCTAGGTTTAAAACCTTTAAAGGCAAATATTCTGCCTTGTCTTTTGAAGGCCACATACAATAAACTACTTACAGTATTTATCCATTTAAAAAATAAGTCCTCTCTTTAACTATTCCCACATAAAGCCACTGATTTCAATATCATTACCAAATGTCTTAGTACCTCTCTACACAATGAAAACAAAAATTGTTTTAAGAGGCAAGAAAATATTTCCATTATGGGGAGCATTCAATGCTTGCTAAAACTGGATGATGGGTAAGATAGTAGGCAGTAGAATCAGATCACTTTGTGTTCAAATTCTTGCTCTACCACTTAGCTTGGTTTCTGCTGATACTGTCCAGAGCACTGGAGGGCATAATGTGTATACAGCACTTAGCCCAGGGCCCTGCTTATAATGAGCATTCAGAAAAACGCCAGCTGCGTTCTGATGACTGGGTAAAGTGTAGTGCTTGGAAAACTTCAGCTTTCTATCTGGGGCTTTTAATAATATCTCTGCTAATTGTTCCACTGTATTCAACCAGTTGCCAAAGCGATTACAAATAGAGTAAACAGGTCATCTATCTACAGCTAAAATATCGTGGAACATCTTAAAGAATACCAAATATCAACACCATTGCTTTCTGGCCTTACTGCTTTTTGAATTGCTGTTTAGCGTAACCTAAGGCACAAGAGAAGTCAGTATGTAAGTGGGTCAGTGTCTAAGCTTGGACTGGGAAGGGACTAACTTGTGGAGGAATGTCTAAAAGACAGCAATGGAAAAAATCATAGAAAAATGATATTTTTTTCTGAGTTTTTGAGTTTTGAGTGATGACAAGGTTACATGAACAACGAGAGACACAGAGTTTAGTAATAAAATCAAACGAAATTTACCACGCAGGCAATCTGCCACACAGTTGGCCACAGGTGAGCTGCTGCTCTCCAGAGTGGTCAGACTTGCTGTTTGAATGTGGGAATGGCCCTGTCCACAGTGGGCACAGAGCACAGCTTACCTCATGAGGGATATAGTCAGGGGGCAGTTTGCTCAGCATATCTTCAGATAATCTGTAAACGATGGCTTCCCGGGTCTCTCCCACACCACCTCCACTCTCTTTGGGTTGAATGTTGGTAATTGTATCAAGAACAGCAGAAGCAGTGTTACTCTGATACCTGATGGAAGAGAGAATCTGTTCAAACTAAAAGGAGCCGATAGGATCACTTAAATCAAAGCCAGCCACAAAAAAGTAAAAACAAAGAAACTACCAATGGTCTACAGGAATGAAAAACCTAGAGATCCATTCTACTGCCTCCTAGTAGGACACCGAGAACAGCACAGAAAGGAGAAGCTCTCTGTCTTCAGAAGAAACCCACAACGTCCTAGCCTGAGTAGTTATCTGTATATTCAGGCGGGGGTTTGTGTGTGCGTGCATGCATCTGTGTGCTGGAGTAAGTTACACTAGAAGATCAGTGAGTCTCTCTTAAAAAGTCACAAGTAAAGTGAGGCCTAATAGAAGAATAAGTCAGCAGAAAGTAGGGTGGATTGGAGATGGGGGGAGGCAAATGGGAGTACAGGTAGGTGTGAAAATCATGTCAGTGCATTTGAGGAACAGAGATAAGGCCAATGTGGCTGGAGCCTGTAAGCTGAGAGGAGAGAAGAGGATGGAGGGAACGTCGGGGCTAGCCATGCAGGGTCACTTGGTCTACTTTAAGGATTCTTCTTTTCTTTTCTTTTTTTTTTGAGACAGAGTCTCACTATGCTGCCCTTGGTAGAGTGCTATTACATCATAGCTCATAGCAACCTCAAACTCTTGGGCTCAAGCGATTCTCTTGCCTCAGCTTCCCAAGTAGATACCCACCGGTCTGTAGTGGGTGGTTATCCCACTGGGTACTTTTTGGTTGTAGTTGTCATTGTTGTTTGGCAGACCCGGGCTGGGCTCGAATCCACCAGCTCTGGTATATGTTGCTGGTGCCCCAGCTGTCTGAGCTACTGGCGTCAGTGGAAACAACTGAAGACTTCCCAAGCCAAGTGTGACAAGATTTAAATTTTATGTCTTTTCTGAACTCCACCCATAAATATCACATAGTTTGATTTTGAGGCATTATTGCTTCATTTGTAAATTTTCTCTCTTGTGCTGGTATCAACCACACTCACCTTTACTTTCACAGGCATTAGAGGCAAACATGAAAGGAATTCAGAAAATGTTTGAGATTTAGTGATTTCTTTTTCTGTTTTATTTTGTTGAACAGTAAACAAGCCTTCATAATATGGCAATACCTATTAATGTTTGGCATTTGCATACTTTTTAATATAGCAATTCTACGTCTAAGAATTCATTCTAAAGGAAGAATCAGACATTACCATTCTGACAGTACTGAAAACAACTAAAAATGCTGGATGAGATGAAAATCATCTTTTTAAAAACATTGCTGCACTGGCAGGACATAGGAACTCCTCAGAGTCAAGCAAAATATAGAGTAAAAGCTGGAATCCAGAGAGATAAACCTGCTTTTACCCTGGGGGCATCAGCTCATGCTGGTATTCTAGAATTTCTGTTTGGAGGATACAATGAAACAAGGGGTGAGCCCTGATATCCAAGGTGGCAAATCCAGTAGGAAATTCCTACTTAAGTCTGAAATGCCATAGGACTTTAGCCAGGAGGGCTGCTAATTAACTTATTCTATGCAGCTCAGCACTTGGTGGGGGAAAAAATCTTTCCTGGAAATTCTTAATCCATAAGGTTTGTGACATTAACATTCATTCACATTATCTATGCAATTAAAAAGAAAAACTCGAGGCAAGAACTTATTGTAAGGTGGTCCCTGGAAGTCCTGGGTGACACCTAATGGAAACAAACACACATCCTCCCAGAACCATATAATTTCAACTCCAGTCTCAAAGATCAATAGTTAATTTCTAATAGACATGAGCTCACACTCAAAAGTTAAAGAATTGTGAAATCGCAACGGCCGCCTCCGCGCGCGGACGCCGGGGCAGCTGCGGGGTCCTCCTGGGGGCCGCCGGGGACCGCGTATCAAGAGGCCTCGTTCTTTTCCCAACCCGTGCGACTCTGGACCTAGAGTGGTTACTATAATGGAAGGAATCAGTAATTTCAAGACACCAAGTAAATTATCTGAAAAAAATAAATCTGATCTCCAAAGGGTTTGTCTCATTCTCCTTGGGCAGTGAAAAAGATTAATCCTGTATGTAATGATCATTATCGAAGTGTGTACCAAAAGAGATTAATCGATGAAGCTAAGATTTTGAAAAGCCTTCACCATCCAAACATTATAGG